ATGGGCAAAAACCCTGGAAGGAAGGAAAGCTTCGGGCAAAGTGTCCTGGACACAGGCATCAAAAGGCCTGGGCTGGCCCCAACTCTGCCTGTTTGCAGCCTTGAGCCCCCAAATAAGTCATTTCCTCTTTCTAGTCCCACCAGTATAGCTAAGACTCCAATCTCTACAAAAATAGGGTTGTTTAAAGAACAAATGAGATAATTTGTAAAAAGCGTTCTGTAAACTGAAAGGCGCTACACACGTATGACGCAGGCCTCTCTGAGATTGTGCATTAAAGGATGAACTAAAGAGGCGGCTTTTTAAAAAATCCAGCTCCAGCTCTGTGGCTTTGCTTCTTTCTTAAGTGAATTTAAAAACCTAGAAAGAGCTACATAACAGTGGCTAATATGAGGCAAATTATTAACTGCACACCAACCATGTCTTTGTCAGGCTACCTCAGCCCACACCCCTGCCCACACCTCACCACCATTCAGCCTTTCGCTCCTGGTGAAAGCGAGAACAGAAGGAAACAGGCTGCTGGAGGTTTTAGAGAGCTGGGAGCCTGCAAGGTAGTGGGAATATCTGTGTCCTTGCAACACCCCATTATTTAGGGATATTCTTCCTTTTTCCTTATTCATACTTTGCCATTGGTAGCTTAAAGGAGTCCTGAAATTTCCATCATGCTTGAAGCCTTAGAGATCCTCTCCGATGCATCCCACCATCCATCCATTCATTCAGCAAAAGGTTATCGAGTCTCTACTATGTGTCAGGCGCTTCCCAGGGCACTGGGGTATGACAGTGGCCAAGACAGGGAAAGTTCCCACTCATGGAGCTCACATGCTAGCCAGGGAGGCTGGCATCAAACGTGACACATGAGTAAGGAAGATAGTTTCAGATCGCGACAAGAGCCAGGAAGACAACTGAGCAGGTGACGTAATAGAAAGTGGCAGGGCTGGGGAATGAGAGGAGACATCCCAGATGGGACAGGGAAGTCCTTGCTAATGAAGTGACATTAAGGCTGAGATTCCAAGGATGGAAAGGAGACAGCCATGCAAACAAGCATTATAAGCAGTCAATAGTGCAAGTGCAAAGGCCCTGAGACAGAAACAAGTTTGATCCATTTGAGGAACAAAACGCAGCCAAGTGGCCCACAGGTCAGACCAAGGGGGCAATTGCAGAGAGAAAGTTAAAGAGGCCATGTCAATGGCCCCCTTGCACATGGGAGAAAAGTAAAGCCCAGAGAGGCTAAATGAGCGGCCCAAGTCACACAGCTCACTGTCGCTACAGCTCATTCTAGAAACTAATTCTTTTGCCCCCAAATTCAGGGGTTTTTACACCATATTGATCTGCTTGCCTCAAGCTGTGGGAATATTGTTTGCTGATCTTACTGATTTTTAAAATCCCTTCACATATATAAAACCAGCAGGCCAATCCCAGTTTTCAGCAGAAAATCATCCACAAGCGACCCCCGTGATCTAGAACGCACACAAGTTCTGCTGTGGAAGCCAAGACTTGGCCCCTCAACTTTCTCGTAGCTCCCAGTCAAGCAGTAATTCTATTTATTGAAGGTTTAGCTCTACAAATACGGAGGGAGGCCACCGCTTGCCAGAGAAGAATCATTTTACAGTTAGGTCTTATTTTTGCACCTGAACCTCTTGACAGTGCTTTGCTTAATTCACCCAAGCGCAATCAAAACCAAGCTGTTCTCAAACCACCCTCCATTTGTGCTGTCAAACTGTCAGCTAACAGGGCTGTGAGCAAAACATCCTAATGACAACATCCTTCCACAATCGAGGAGCACCTCCACCTGAAAGGCCAAGTCTGTTAAGACCCAAATCCTGCATCCCGTGGGACCGCCCCTCGTCTTTCCTATTGTAATGCTAGGTTCCCGTCATCTCCGCTCTGCCAAACCCAGACCTCCAAAGAACAGACCTAGTGTCTGTCCAGTGGCCAGTGACCGGCCCACCAGAGGTAGAAGGACAGACACTAGTTGGCTGGATGGGTTAGTGGAGAAAGGAACGGTGGGGAAAGCCTCTTCTCCCTCCTCCTCCTCCTCTCCCTCTCTACCCTCCTCCTCTGCCAGCCTCTCCTCCTCCCCCTCCTCTCTTCTTCTCTTCCTCCTCGCAACAAGCTTCTCCAGTCCCTGAGCTCTGGGAGCCTCACCAGGCAAGAGCCAGAGGTCCCACAGCATAAGAGATAGACCTGAAGAGTGTTTAAGGGCCCAACTTTTAGTCCAATCCCACCACCTACTTACTAGCTGTATGACCTTGGACAATTTACTCAACCTCTCTGTTCCTCAGTTCCCTCACCTGTAAAATCAGGATTCTATCTTCCTCCTAAGATTAAGTTGAAAAGATTAAATAAATTTATCTTCTGATTTTAAAATAATCATGGTAAATGTTTTAATTGATGTATGTAACACACTAGACGGTGCCTGGCGTATAGTTCTATATAGGTGTGAGACATGCCACCCTCACTCCCCACTCTCCTCCTGCCTCCACCCCTTAGCTAGGAAAAGGTATGGTCACCCCCAACTTCAGGAACAACCTTGCCTGAAGTCAGAGCACCTTACAGGAAGGCAGCTCCATGGGTCCTGATGGGAATCGAGTGTCAAATGGGGACCAGAACACTTACACCGTCAGATAAGTATTGTGAGAATAATTGTGTGAAATAACAGACACAAAACAGCTGGCAGGCCATGATTACTCAGGGAACGTTGTTATTTTTACTGGAGTCTTTTCATTTTTAGCACCTTTCGTTGTGACTATAGATGCTACTTGCACGCTTCTTCACTGTGTCAGGCTGTAAAACGTGAGATTCATCTGTGTTTACCGCTGTGACACAAATACTTAGGTGGATGACCATACAGAAATGTAGTTTAAAGACCAAAATCAGCCCCACAGCCCTCCCTGTCAGACCTCCTCGAAAACACCAACCTGACTCTTTAGACAGCCACCACGTGACCCACCTCTTGGATGACTCAGGGACATCTCCCGCTCTACAAGTCCTGGACTGAACTCCTGAGCTTTCTCAATACTGGTCCTGCCCTGGCTGCCTTCCCAGTCGTTCCAACTACTCCACCTCCACACCTTATTCACAGAAAGCTCATAGATTTCGTGTCCTCCATAGCTCCTTACTCCATCCACTTCGCCATCCCCACGGCCACCATCCTGGTCCACATCACTATCACTTCTGGTCCCTCACATCCACAAGAACCACACAGCGCTTGTTTTGATACTTAGTTCAGATCATTTCACTCCTCAACTTGAAACTCTTCAGTGGCTTAAGATAAAGACTATTCTCCCCCCTACCCCACCCCACACCCGCCACAATCCCATCCTACCTGCAAAAACATGAGGCTTTGGGGTCTGACCCTGTGTATTCCCCAGTCACATCTCAGAACACATGCTTCCTTGCTCTCTGCTCCAGCCATGGAAACTTCCTTTCAGTTCCTCCAATAAACATGTTCCTTCTGCCTCAGGGCCTTTGCATTTGCTATTCTCTCTTTTGCAACAGTTCCCCTCTTTATTAGCCAATTAATCCCTACAGGTCTCAGTACAAGTGTCTGATTACCTTCCCTGACCACCCACTTCCCTTGGTCCTTGTCAATCTCTTCTATCAGACACTTTTCTTAAAACCGTGATGCTCTCCTTTACGGAACATATGAAAACTTGTAATTCTGCATTCCTCTGTGCAATGGCTGATTTAGGTCTGTCTCCCTCACTGTAAACTCCAAGAAGGCAGAGCTTCTGCCTGCGCTACCCTGACTGTATCTCCAGTGCCTGGGACAGCACTTGCTGTGTAGCTGGCATTCGATAAATATGTTTTGCTGGGATCTAAAAAAAACCCCAAAGTACACTTCCCTATTTTCAGAGATGGAGACAAAATAGAAGGTTTGGGTTGTATTTATGGTATAACAGCCTCAGTGTTGAAAATAGGTAATACCTCTTCACTCTCTCTTCAATAGCCAGTGAATTCATAAGACCCTGACTCAACAAATGAGTAGGTTTCCTCTTTTCCAGTCTGGAGAAAAGAAATGCACTCGGAAAGCACACTAAGCACACACACATATATCAAATAAACACATTTCAACCCCAATACACACGGAGGCATCGCCTAGCCAGACTCCGCCTTCAGATGAGCTAAGAGAAATGTTAAAGAGCATTCTTGTCAAAACTGGACACGCGGTTTCAACTTGTTCTGCTCCCACAATGATCACTCAGGAGGCGCCTTAACATCTGCATGCTAATTACAGACACGGTGGCCGATGCTGGGCACATACAAATCTGTCTTAATCGTTCCCTTTTGCGCTGAGGGAACATTATCCAATATTCGTAAGAGCTTGTACACGACACTACTGCTCGCGCGGGCACACTGCGCGCCCCCTCCCCAGCCCTTGCCAGCCCCACCTTTCTCACAAACCACTCCCCCTCCCCCTTCTACTCCGAGCTGAGCCAAACTAGCTGCCTGGTTTGGTAATAAGACTGAGCGAAGACTAGGAAGGCCCCGTGGGCTCCATTATTCCGCAAGCCCTACGAGAAGGGCCACCTCCAGGGACCGCTGCTGCAGACCCAAGCCCTCTTGCTGCCAGGAAACCTTTCCCACTGAGGACACGTGGGGCAGGCGGCGCAGCTCCAGGTCCAGGGGGAGGCACCCCACCCATCTGCCAGAGAGACAAAGATCACCAGAAACAAAGGACACACACACACACTGTCACACACACAAAGTCAAAAAGCAAATACCGACACTTGGTGCAATTTCAAGCCAAACAGCCGGCTTGGTGTATCTTTAAATAGATTTTGAAACCATCCAGGAGGTACAATGACCATGTGATAATGACAGGCACTATCTAGGTTTGGAATCCACGCTGCCCCCGCCCTCCTCCCACCCCCGCTGCAGTTCCTAGGCGCATTTTCCAGCCACAGGATACACGCTGCCAGGAGCAAGGGTGCTTCCACTCCTGGAAGCGCGCACACGCAGGAGGAGGCAGAGCGAGGGCGGCCAAAGTAGGAAATACCAACCTTTAGGATCCCAGTTCACCTGTTTTCTTGGAGTCTCGATTGGAAATTTCATTGCTCCGTTGCCCAGAAGGGGAGGAAACGAAAAGAATCAAAATAATAATAAAGTCCTCAAGCTTTACACGCCTTGGTACAGCAGTCCAACAAAACAATTTCCAAGGATGGGGGAGCCCTGGACTGGCTCGTGGAGAAGCCCCAGAGAAAGACAAGTGGAAAATACTGGCTTGGGAGAGCACTGGAGACGGCCTGGGTGTTTGCACCGGTTGAGGGGTGGCCGGCAGCCGCCCCCTGGGTAAAAGGAAAAGTAAGATCGGTGAAGGGTAGATGGAAAGGGAGGCTCGGGAAGACGAAGAGCCAAACCCTTCTCAAATGAGGCGCTGGCAGGTTGGGGGCTGAGCAGCCAGACGGCCGGCGCGAGGGAGAAGCCCACTGCAGTGTCACTCCAGCCCCCGAAGGCGTGGGCGCACACACTCCCGCACACACACTGGCACACACTCGCCCGGGCGCGCGCTCGGGCGGGCACGTCAGCCCCGCTCGGCCGCGCAGAGCTCACACGCCCCACCCCGGCCGCGGCTCCTCGCCCCCGGGCGACGCCCCCCACTCCCCACCCCCCGAAAGCCATTGGACGTCAGGGTGGCGCGGCGCTCGGGGAGCGCGCGGCGAGGGCGACCCTTCCCGTGGCGCGCCGCAGAAGCCGCGCCACGGCGGGAGGGCGCGCGGCGGGTGGAGGTGCCGGCCCAGGGAGGTGCGCTCAGCCCTCGGCGCCCGGCCTGGGGCAGTGGCCGGCTGCGGACTTGCCCGCGGGGCGGCGGGGGGCGGCGGGAGGCGGCGGGCGCGGCGACCGGGCCGCCGCGGCGGGGCCAGGAGCGGGCGGCAGGCGCGCGCTACTTACTGGCTCGGCCGGCCGGCCGGCAGGCGGGCGTGGAGGCGGCCGCGGCGCGCTCGGTGGAGTTGCAGCCGGAGACACGCTTGGCTGCCTGGCAGGCGCTGCAGGAGGCGGAGGAAGGGCCGCGGCGCCCCACCGCAGACCTCTGCCTCGGGGGGAACCTCTTGTCACCGCTTCCACTCTAGGCGCACCCCCCACTTCTTTTCTCACTTCATTTTTTCGCTCCGCTCCCCTCCCGCGCCTGGTTCTCCCGCCTGAGCCCCGAACCCACGTCCCCAGCGCACTTCGAGGCCGGTGCCAGCCATGAGCCTTTTGTTCTGGGACCGCTCCGCGTCGGCCGCGCTCTCCCCGCCAGGGGAAGCTCGCTCCCCAGGCACAGCCCGGTCCCTTCCCCAGCTACCTGCAGCCCGGCTGGGGCCGCTGAGGCCCGGGAGGAGGCGGGAGAGAGGCGCGGCGGCCCCGGAAGAAAGCGGACCTGCCAAAACCTGGCGGCTCCGGGAAGCGGCCGCCTTGGGAGCCCCAGGGCCTAGCAGGGGCATGTGCGAAGGGCCCCCGGACATGTTCCCGGAAAGAGGCTAAACCTGGAGCATTTCCCCCTACCCCCGCTGTCACTGCCCCCGCCTGAAGCCGCACAGGGGCTTGCGGTGAGGCCTCAGTCTCCAGAAGAACCTGGTGGTGCTTAGATGCTCTTGAATGGGCCACTCGAAGTACCAATATGAATAATGTTTACCAATTACTTCGGTTGCCTAGCAACGGAGGCTCGCCTATAGTAGATGCTCAAAAAATACTTGCTAAGTGAAGACGTGAATTGCATAAAGCACTGTTGGACAAAAAGCAGTTTGTTACTGTCCATTCACTGTCCACTCCACAAATATCTTGACCCCTTCTATGTGCCATCACTGTGCCAAGTGCCAGTGATGTGGCAAAGAGTAAGACGGACTGGACCTTGCCTTCATAGGGCTTACTGTCTCGTGCCATGAGGTCGAGTTAGATCGTCGTTGCCTTTACTTAAGAAAGAGAAAGCGACTGCCCAGCCCAGCCCTCAGCCTGCCTGCCATGGCCCTAAACCCCTCCACTAGCAGTTCCTCTCTGAATTGCATGCCGCTCCAGGGCACCTTGAGGCTTCTGAGGAGGCCTGTGTCAGCAGCATCTTTCTTATCATCAATCCCCTACTGTCACTTGTAGGTTTCTGAGTCCCAGGGAAGATCCATGGAGGTCTGCTGTCATCTGTGGGAAGCCTTGGTAAGTGCTTTGTCACTGACCCTACAGGCTGCTGGGACTAGAGCCCTGAGTTCTCTGCAGACCTTGTTCAAGCAAAAACTGGTGCCAATCGGATGGCGCTGTTCCGACTCCTCAGCCCTGTAGGCAGGCGCAGGTTCCCCAGGTGCTTCAGAGACACCTTCTCTGGGACTCTGCTTCCACACTTTGCTTCCCTCTACTAGAAGATTGAGAGGATGGATGAGACATAGAATGAGACAAACAGAGAATTTCTACTTCCCCATCCATGCCCCTAGACACACCGGTATGTATGTAAATTATTCTCCAAAACCCAAAGGGAGCTGCTTCTAAGCCTTCGGAGCCTTACTCTGTCCTCTCCTCCTTAACTGCTCAAGGGCAGAAGGGCTCCAGCCCTGTCACTGCAATGCAATGTTTTCACCTGCATCAGAGTTGGCAAGGTGACCACAGAGAAACATACTCTCTCCTGACTCCTCTGAGGATGGGAAGGCAAGACTGACATTTATTGAAGGCCCCTTCACCTTCTCATACTTCTTTCTCTCCATTCATCTTCCCTACATCACTTTGAGGAGGCTCTAACTGGCCTCATTTTACAGATGAGAAGATCAAGGCTCAGAGAGAGAAAGGAACAGGGCCAAGGTCACAACACAGAAATTCAAATCCGAGTAAGCTCATCTGGTCCCTGGACCCATGAATCTGACTCTGAAGCTGTTGGATGGGTTCTTTGGGGTAACGAAGATCTAAATACTATATTAGCTAAGACTCTAGCCCCTCCTCCTTTGCAAAATGTATGGGACTAACCTGGTGCCCTGGGGTCTGCATCAGGGAATTAGTTCACAGTCCAAGGCAAATTCCTGTGACACAAAATGCAGCCTTAGGGTGCATCATTCACCCAATCAACAAACAAGTATTGAGCATCCCTTGGGTACAAGACAGTTGGCAGGTTTTCCTCAGAAGTTATTTTGGCCCCTGGAGAACCTTCCCCCAGAAAATCATCAGCAGGACGATTACTTGGGGGCTGGGGTTGTTTGGGATGGATCTAATGGGGTGAGGGGGCAGGATCAGGGGTCTAAGGTTCCCAGTGTGGATTAAAGACTTACTCCAGTCATTGGCCCTTAGGATCATCTCTCTGCTAAATCACTGGGCGCTTCCTCCCTCCCCCCTCACCATCCTCTGGGGCTTTCTCTCACCTCCAGTTTCATTCACCCTTCCCGGATTGTGGACAAAGACAAGTTTATGGGGGGTAAAAATCCGCCAAAAACTTAATTAATTGATTAATTAACTAATTAATTAATCCCAGCTCCCCCTCCCCTAACGTGCCTGAAATCAAGTCCAACTCCTAAACTGCGTATTTGGGGGAGGGGAAGGGGGCCAATGGAGGGGGACCCGGGAGGCGAGCCCCTCTCCCAAGAAAAACAACTTCGCACGTTAACCCTTTGTGCTTCTGCAGCCCCCTTCATCACCTTCCATTCTACGCCTTCATTATTACAGACTAGATTCCACTTACCCGAAGAAGGAGGAAAGAAGTGATCTGTGTAGAGAAAAAACATCCAAAAAAGATGCCGCGCCGAGCGGTGCCCTCTCGCTCTGTGCCGCCGCAACTTCCATGGCTATTGCTGCGGGCGGGTTAAGTCTGGTGTGAAGAGACCGCCTCCGGCTCCTGCGGCAGGAAAACAAAGCATCGTGGCGCAAAGTCTGCCTGCACTCGCCGTGCCCCGCCAGCCACCCCGGGCTGGCGGCGGCCGCGTCCTGGGCGCATTCGGTGCTAAAAGGCTCTGTTCCTTGCCAGGGAAGCGTTGCTGCTCGTCGCCCGGGTCTCTGCAGCTCAGAACCCGCAATAGTTGCGGCGCCACTTTAAGGAATGCCATGTGGCCCCGGGCGGGAGGGCTGGGGAAGCCCGAAAACCTCAGTCATCTCTGGCGGGGAAGTTTTCCACGAGTTGGTGGCTTGTTTACCCACTCCCCACGCCGCAGCCCGGGATGGGTGTGAGACCGAAGAGGATGCTGTCTGCCCCGTGGGGAGTCTCGGAGTGGCTGGCCACGACCAGCCCAGCCAGAGAAGGGTTGAACGCGGATTCCGGGGTGAGGCGGGAGGATGTCCTGGACAGCGAATCGTGGGGAGTGATGAAGCGGCTTGGGGAATCCTGCCTGGTGCTGCTTCGGCAAACAGAAGGGGGAGGAGGACAGATCTGATTAGGATCTTCTTTGAATTCACGCATACCAGAATGAACTCGTCAGTCTGCCTTGGATTGTTTCCGTTCGGTGTCATTATTTCTCCCCGAAGTCCAGAAGCAATCCCCATCTTCCAATATCTTCCCCATCCCCAAGACACCTCCAAGTCCTTTTTTCAAAAGAACTGCAGAGAGGTTTCCATGTCGTTTGGTGAAGTGGTCCCGCCCCCCGCCCCGCACACCCTGTGTATACCCACTCAGCGGTAAAACTGATAGGGTTAAGCATTAAAGTTAACTTAAACTTCTCGTACCAGAAAGGTTTTCTTTCCCTGGTGAAGTTTCCACTTTGTTCTCACCATTTAATCACTCCGACATTTGTTTTCATGTCCCAACCAGCATCTGCAGAAACACACCCTGAAATACATGTTGCTCTAATCTTGGGCTCTGCTTTTGGCTTGGAAAAGCTGGAAACGTATCAGCAGCTAAAGGGCAGAGGGTGTCATATATCATACTGCTCAGTAGCGAACTCTGTGTGCATAAATCCTGCAGACTTAATTTGGTAACTCAAACCTCTGATTGGGGATTAACGAAGACATCATACTTTGAACTCCAAAGAGGTTGTAATTAAAGCATCGGGCTGATGAACATGTTTCGTGACTAGGAGCTGCATCTTCTTCCCTTGTAAGTTTCTCTATGTTAAATTTTAGCCCTTAGGAAAATATTATTTAAGATCCCATAAGGCATTGTGCCAAACTTCTTGCCAAAAATATACAGAGCTATAATCCTCCTTCTTATAAAACAAGTTTTAAGGTGATTCCCTCTCTCTGAATTGCCAACAAACATAACCCCTGGTAATTTTTTTAAGAGATGGAGCTGGAATTTTTTGAGTCTTCCCCTCAACTTTTTATTTTGAAAATTTTCAAACACGCAGAAAAGTTATAATAGTTTGGTAAAAACCAGGATGCAAGCAAATATTGCATTTGTTTGTTATTTCTATTTAATATTTTATTCTAGAAAAATCCCTCCATTTTTTTATGACATTGATTTTTTTTTTTTTTAAGAATCCAAAATCATTTGCTTTCTAGTAATGTTTAAGGTCATGATGTAACTAAAGATAAGTTGAGTCAAAGGGGGAAAAAAACAATTTCCTGACCTCAGCAGATCATTAAAAGAACTCAATATCTTCTATAAATCCAGTGTCCATGCCAATATCCATGGAATAGAAGGTGGTTGTATCCCCACTCACTCAAGTTTCTCCCCTCGACTTAGCCTTAGTCAAAGAAGTTCTATTTGTTT